TCAACCATTAAAACAGACAACATGGTTAAAATTACGTACTAAAGGGATGTTTAAATGTGGAAAATGTCAAATCTGTAAATATGTGGATCGTACAGACTCTTTTTTTGATTCAAGGAATAGCACTCATTATAAAATTCAAAGCCTTATAAATTGTTCTACAGTGAGAGTACTATACATTTTGACTTGTCCCTGCAAGAAGATGTATATTGGTAAGACCAAAAGACAACTTAAAGTACGAATAGGTGAACATTTCAGAGATATTTGATCTAATGACCCTGAAAGTTATCTTGCCCAGCACTATGCTAAATCTCATGGAGGTAAATTGGATGGTACAAAAGTGAAAGGTTTCTATGCACTGCATTTTCCTCAAAGGAGAGGTGATTTTGACAGAGAACTGTTAAAAAAGGAGAAATATTGGATATATAAACTTGATACATTGTACCCTAAGGGGTTAAATGTGGAATGTGATCTCCAAGTATTTTTGGATAAATAGATCTGTATGGATATATTTTCTTATATTGCCACATGTTGGTTAATCTGTGGTTACTCCTCACTCCTGTTAATGGCTGGACAAAGTGTTAATGGAATTATTGAGGATAATATGTTAAGTAAATAATTAAGGTAAACCTTCTCTGGGAGATATTTAATGACCTGATGGTACACATTGGAATATAGGTCTAGAAATGTAGAAGGGTTTAATTTTTGAATCATTTTCCCCTCCTTTGAGATTAAATGTACACTAATAAGTGGTTAATTTGAAGTTTAGGAACCCTGGGTAAAATAACCCATAGAGGGATTTGTTAATTAACATCGCCATCTTGTGGTGGTTTTGCGGTAATTGTGACTGTGTTCCTGTGCATCTTTGACCTAATTAATATATTTGAAGACTTTTTCATTAATACTGCCATCTTCTGGTGAAAGTGTGGTAATTTTCAATTGAATATAATTTTTGTTTTCTACTTTTTTGGGTGCATTGCTGCAATTGTCAAGTCTTTCCTCTCTCTGATATTTCCAGCCACCTCTCTTTTTAATTTTAATTTAACTATGACCAGCGGTTGTGCTAAGTATTTAGCCTTTTTCTTCCATTGGGGATAACTGCAATGTAATTTTTGCATAAGTGGGTGGGTCTTAATCCACTATAAATAGAGGGTTGAAATGCAGGAATCCCATTGGTCCTGACGAAGCTGAGTGAGATACGCCCATCGGCGAAACGCGTTGACGTCATACGTCAGATACGTCACTTCCGGTCATGCGCACTAGGTGGAACGCACGCTGACCTACAAGGAGGTAGCCATCTTCACATGCTATGAGGCATGCTTAGGCGGCACAGGCGCCATGGAGAGGTCGGAACCCGCGGTATGTCGGCTGATGTAAGCGGTGGTTCCCTGGTTCCATATAGCAGTACGTTTTGAAGGGCAGTACTCATGAAGGATATCCTTTTTCTTTCCTACTACCCATTGCACAGGTGGTGAGTGGACTGTTACAGGACATTAGATTAAAGGTCCCTTGTGACCTATATGGCATTAACGACCATTATAGAGTGAAAGCTCTTACAGTGACTTCCCTCATATTGTTTGTCTCACTACAGGATGGGGACATCATGGTGTTTTCTATAGGAAACAAGGCATGCCACATATATTTCAACGGGCGGAGGAGCCGCTGGGCTTTATCTTGTTTTCAACAAAAAGTGATGTGTAGTCCACATGCTGTGGTGAAGAAATCACTTAAAGCAGTGTTCTGCTACTTGCATCTGTTTCTCCATCCAGGCGACAATTGGGGCGTTATTTACATCTAAGAGTCCTAAGAATCAGTCATTTATATTACAGATGAATGGGCCCCAACCACACGTGCCGGCATGGGACTGTACTGTATTTCATATGTGATATCCTTTTGCTGCCTAACATAGGCTTATGGCTTTGCCTCTCTTTTGACGCACACTGTGCTCGCTGCATTGCATACATGTGATATTTCATACCTTTGGTATAATTTTTGGGAATTCCCTTCTATGGGATAGAACCTATATGGTTATGACACAGGTCTTTATATTCATTACATGTGACACTGTATACCTATGGTATAGTTTTTTGTGTACACCTCCTTCGGGAAGTGTTAACCTATGTGCCAGTGCTGCAAAGACTTTAGACTTCTTGTGGTCATTGTCTTTGCAGCACATCTATTCAGACCGGTTTTGGTGTTATTTTATATGGTTTTAGGTCTGTGTGTATTGTCTCATACTGAGGTGATGGTAAACCAGGGCGATTGCCCATATGTCAAATATTTATATGTAATAAAGCATAATTTTTGGAAATTTTTCTGAGTATCACATTCTGTTCATAATGTAGCCGCTTTCCTGTGAATTCCTTTTCACAAACCCTTCTTTTTTGTATGCCTTTTTGGGCAACTGAATGGAAGCCATATATTGAGTGATACAGTAATTTATTTTGTAACCTCTTAAAAACTATCTTTAGTCAACCCTTCTTCCACTGCCCTGTGTGCCCTATGAAAGCAGCTTCCCTTTGACTGGTATGCCAGTCACCTTTTTTTTTTTTAATGCATCTGCTGCACTGACCTCACTGACTTAGTGAGTTGGCATATTTCTATGGTTTCAACCATTTTACCTCTTTTATTAGCAATAAAAAACTGACTGGGGTTTTAATCCTACTCCACTGTATCCATCCCACTGGATACTACATCATGATTTAAAATACAGAAAGATTTCATAAGATAAATACCACATGCAACATTTTAGAAGAGTTTTTTAATGAATGGCAAAAAAAAATGTTTGAAAAACACTAAGGGGTACTGCAGTTCTTAAAGCGGTACTGCTTGTGAATCAAGGTTATAACCCAGAATTCTCAACTAAACAGGTTGAGAGGCTCCAGAGGGTTTGCTTAATGCAGAGGAAACTGGCTTTTCAGTTTGCTCATTTGTTTGTAAAGTCCATTTTGGGACCTGGAGCTTTGAGATTTCAAGGTGATTTGGGAGGGATGAAGGCGCTGCTAGCTGTGTACACAGAGCCATTTAGAAAAGTCTGCAGAAGACAGCTGTGAGCCTGAAGTGGAAGGCCAGAGTGGCAGAATTGTATGTACAAGCCAGGAGGCTAAATATCTGTGTTTGGAAGAGTAAAATACTGAAAACCCTTGTGAGGGAAATCTAGGGTTTAGGACTTATGGAACTTTCTTTTAAAGAAAATTGGGCAAAAATGGCCCTTAAAAAAAAAATTGAGTGGCTGTGTACTTTAAAGCTCTACCCTTGATGCTAGTTCTCACAATACACACACACAGTACTGTGCAAATGTTTTAGGCATGTGTGTAGAAATGTTGTAAAGTAAGAATGTTTTCAGAAATATATATTTTTATGGTTTATTTTTATCAATTTAAAAAATGAAAAGTGAGAGGACAGAAGAAAAACCTAAATCAAAATTTGGTATTTTGGCTTCAGACAGCATCAATTCTTACACTTGCACAAAGTTAGGCATGTTGTAGGCTTAGAGTCAAGTGTATGATTAACCAATTATTCCAATCAGGTGCTAATGATCATCAATTTCATATGTCGGTTGAAACGCAGGCATTAACTGACCTGGCTGTATAGGAGTCTGAAAACTGGGCAAGAACAGCCAAACTCTGCTACTAAGGTGAGGTTGTGGCAGACAGTTTAATGTCACGGGTCATATACCATGGTGTGACTGAGCACAGCATCAAGACACAAGGTACTGCACACAGTAGTTTATACTGCATCAGTAACATTTTTCCCAGGCAAAGATTTCAAAGCAGACTGGGGTTTCAAGATATGCTGTTCAATCTCTTCTAAAGAACAAAGAAACAGGCAATGTTGAGGACAATAGACACAGTGGTGAGCCAAGGAACTTAATGCAGCAGATGAAGGACACATTATGCTTACTTCCCTTCAACATTGGAGGATGTCCAGCAGTGCCATCAGCACGAAACTGGCAGAAACCAGTGGGACCCAGGTACACCCATCTTCTGACCAGAGAGGTCTGGCCAGAAGTGCTCTTCATGGAAGAATTGTGGCTAAAAAGTCATATCACCTATGTGGAAACAAGGCTAAATGACTCAATTATGCATGAAAACATTGGAACTGTGCTGCAGAAATATGGCAGCAAGTGCTCTGGACTGATGAGTTAAAACTTTAAATATTTGGCTGTAACAGGAGGCAGGGTGTTCACACCAAATATTGATTAGGATTTCTCTTTTGTTCATTTACTTTCCATTTTGTTAAATTATAAAAAATAAGCTATTTCTGAAATCATTATATATACGGGTCTCAGTACTAAATAGTAACATAATGCTCCCCATAAAACATATGCCAAACCTGAAAGTTGGAATGAGACAAAATATTGAATGCTTAAATTACCTTTTATTGACAAGCAAGCATTCTGGCTTGAGTCAGTACACCTGCAGGGTCTACTTATGTGCAGGTACAGTAGTACGCATTGACAGAATCATTCCAGTTTTCAAACAGTCCATTGCACTGAAGGAACGGTTATTTCATTTCTGCCCGACTTACTCCACAATTTCAGGGTGCAGCAGTTGGCCACAACCATAGAGAAAATCTTTTTACCCCATCCAGATGGCATTTGGGGGAAGTCATCTCTATTCTTGACACCAAGGTAGGCCCCTTCACAGGACTGATCAAAGTACAGTACATGTTGTGTTCAAACATGCGAGAACAGAGCTTCTCCCCTGCGCCATTCAAAGATCAGAGCATGCAGGGCATTGAGCCAGGAAACCATCAAAGAACAGAGGCAGCAGAAGTACAGAAAACAGCATGTTCATGACGACAGATGGTGTGAGTCCCGTAGACCACCCATCCTCTCAGCTATTTATATATTTAAGATATACTTGAGGAAACCCAGCAAGGCTGTGCTGATATTGATGTTTTTTCAGGTGACAAAATGCCTTGATTATAGCTAGGACAGTAAATATATGCAATGTAGGTGCAGGTACACTCAGGTGTGTCAATTCCCAGTACGTGTTTTTCTAAGAGTTTAGATGCAGCCTCTTGTGTTTGAGAATCTCAGTGGGGGTCAGGGAGAAGTCCTTGTCACATACATCACAGTGATATTTCTTGTGTAGAGAAGTCAGTGAAGAGGGCTTCATTCCTTGTTCTTCAGTCTCTGTAGAAGAACAATATTAATACAGTTAAAATGGTTCTAAAGGGTAAACGTGTTTTACCTTAATGCATTCCCTGCTTTATGCTAAAAGCATTTTGCTACTTACTGTGCACTTCCCCCCCTATGTAAATACTTCCCTGAGCTCTGTATCGATCCAGCGCTGTGCCCATCTATCGTTCTTCTCTCCTCTCTCCCTGCTCTCACAAGCTTGGCTGACAGCAGTGGGAGCCATTGTCAGTCAAATCCCGTTAGTAAAGAGCGGGAGGCGGGGCTGAGCTGCTCTGTGTGTGTCAATAGACGCACACAGTCTGGCTCAGAATTCAGCCCGCACATTTGCCCCATAGGAAGCACCTGCTATAGAGGCAGACATAAACGAGGAAGAGCCAAGACTGATGGTGATGGCAGGGGCCCCAGAAGAAGAGGATAGGGGCTGTCCTGTACAATATCACTGCACAAAGCAGGTCAGTATAAAATGTTTATTATTTTACTTTTTAAAGCACTTTAACAATTTTCAGTGTAACGTACATATGTGGACATTGTCAAGTCCTGTCTAGCGATGAAATATAGCCAATATAGCATGCATGTCTTTAGGATTACAGTGTGGCCAGAAGAAACTGTCACCTCTGCCCAAGCAAAATATATGTTCAGTTTTGATCATATGTTATCGCAGGGGTTGTCAGCAGCTTTTAAGGAGCCAGGTAGCATGAGGTTTCATGGAAACAAAATATAAGACTCTGAATCTATCCAGTGTACTTTTCCGAAAGACTAGGGTAACCAACAATTACAAGGAAAATTATAAATGGTACCAGGACAGTAATTTCTTTTTTTTAAGATTTTGAACCTGAACTCCAGGCAGATGTAAAAGGCAAAAATTATGCAGCGCTGTATTCATTAATACATCATAAAAGTGGAATTATTCATGTCTTGTCCCCAGCACTGCGATGTCCCAGCATGTACCTGAATCTGACTCTTGCAGTTTCCTGTACAGCAGGGCTCTGACTGGAAGAGGGAAAAGAAGCCCAAGAAGTGAATCAGTTGTGCTTCAGTGCGTATGTGCTAACAAGAGACATGCTGGTTGGAGGAGAAAGCAAACGGACAGGAACAACCATAATTTGGGCTTAAAGTGTTACTAAACCCAGGACCCTGTATTCGCTATATCTGGTCTCCCACAGTACACAGAACATGGAAGTGCAATTATTTTAGTAAATATAAACTGCAAAATACCTTTTCTCATCAGCAGTTAGAGAAGTCTTGTGACTTCTATCAGTGTTCAGCAGAGCACATCAAAGCTTATAGGAGGAGTTTTCATTCTGCTCTAGGAGGATGCAGAACCCCTGGCCTCTGTCTGGACAGTGCTGATTGGCCCTGTGCTGATCACATGCACTCTCCCAAGAAAAAAAAAGCTTTCTAGCAATACACACCAAATAAAGCATATGGTGTGGAGTCATTCTGCAAATGCCCAATCAGGAGATAAGAGGGGGGGCACTGGAAGGAGGGGAGGATCAGAGAAGTCAGGATCAAACAGCCTTTTTACACAATGCAGAGGATTAACCCCTTAGGTTCCACAGTGAGTATAACAAGCATGCTTTACTGCATATACAAACTGATTTTACTGTTATGGATTTAGTAACACTTTAAGAATGGGCTGGAGCTACTGTCAGAAAAAATGCAATATGCAATTGGTCCCCTTGAGGATTAATTAAAAATTAAAAATATGAGAGTTCTTTTTTACATGAAGCCTGTCACTTAAAAAAAGATGATAAATACTTACCTTTTCAGTAAGCAGTATATTAAATTATACTTCTCTTTCTGAACTACAACCACCACTGCTATCCAACGCTTCCAGAGTTGTGTCAGATGTGTGTCCCTTGCTGCGTGCTGTGGTTCCTTCCACCAAACCCCAACAACAACCCCCTACTGTGTCCTGTAGTAAACTAGGGGTCAATAGGAGGAGCTGTAGCATGCGGCAAAGAACACATATCTGACACATCCCCAGAAGTGTTGGATAGTAGTGGTGGCCATACCTCAAAAACCTTTAACCTAATGCCTTTTGCAAGGGTAAGTATTCCTTTTCTTCTTTTACAGGGTTATTCTTGTATCAATTCTGCAAGCTAACATCAGGGTCACTCCTTTACCATTTCTTCGCTCTTCCACCATGCTGTTTATCTGCTGGGAGTGAAGAAAATGCTCCTAGGTTTGAAAAAGCATGTGATTAACCCCGTGTGACAACGCAAGTGCTTAACGATTGACCCAGTGCTGTCACAAGGAGTGTCCAAAAGGAGCTTACACAAGGCTGCTTTCCTTCACTTTTGATAACTTAGGAAAACCATGGAGGAACAAAGGAAAGGTGAGTATGGGCTGATGGGGGGCACTGAAATAAGCCTGCAGCTTTGACTCTTAAATTCTCTGCTAGCAAGTTTTTCTCAAAGGTCTTTGTGTCTCTACCACTTCAGAGAAATTACCAAAACAAAAGGTGTCACTCCCATGTATCAGGATTTTATATATACAAGTGTACCTCGTTTTACGAATTTAATGTGTTCTCCGGGACGTTTCGTATTGCGAAACATTTGTAAACTGAAACGTGGTTTCCCATAGGAATGCATTGAAAACCAATTAATCTGTTCCAGAGGTCAGAAAAAAGTAAAAAAAAAAGTTGCTGTCACTATAGGACAGTGCTGGTTTTTAAATGTAATTACCGGCTTTTTTTTTTAATCACTATAGCTCAGAGAATCAGCTGGTACTTTCCCCCCAGCTAAAAGAGAGAAAGTTTCCTTTTAGTTTATTTCCCCAAGTTAAAAGAAACAATGTTTCCTTTTAGTTTGTTTTCGGAGATAAAAGAAACAAAGTATCCTTTAGCTCCAGGGAAAGTGACAGCTAATTCTGTGAGCTATAGTGAAGAAAAAAAAAGCCGGCAATTGCATTTAAAAATTGGAACTGACATACACTTCGTATCGCACAAACAATTCATTAAAAATTTGTCAACAGAGGCATTATTTTCATTCGTAAACTAAAAATTATGTTAACCGAGGCAAACCTGTGTGTGTGTGTGTGTGATGTATATATATATATATATATATATATATATATATATATATATATACACACATACATATACACACACTGTATATATTCTCAACATTCTCAGATGACTGTGACACAAACACTTGGCATTGGGATGGACACAGCAGTTGCATAGAGTCCGAAAGCTTGAAGGGAAGATATCAGAGTGTGTTTCAACAGTTGTGAAAACTGAAACTCTATTATATACTACTACTACTGATTTTCCAATGTTAACTTACCAGTTTTCTCTTCTTCTATACAGCTGTTCTGATGTGCCATGCGTTCTAAAGGTGTAAATGGCATGTATAGGCCACAGCGAGGACAGGTCCAGAATGTGCGCAAACAATCACTGTACAAATCAGCATCGCTCTGCATGAAACAAACACAGTATTTGCCACATACTGAAAACTTCATGAAAGCTGCTATATAAAAAAAATTTGATTTTATTTTTTTAAAAAGAAAAAACATGAGAAGGTTATGAGCATTTAAAATGAGGGTGGCATAGTGCGGAAAGGAACAGACTGTAGAATGGGCCCATGGGCACATTTCCTGCAGAAGGCCAAAACCTGGTAACTTTTGTTTTGTACCCCTTCCTGCCTCCATTAACGTAAGCAGCAACTAATCTAAAGTAAATAGCTGCAAGAATACTAACCAATATCAAATATCTAATTTTCTAAACATGAACATTTTAAAGTGTTGGTTCAGCTTTTCAGGAAAAATGGAAAGGTGAGCACCATATACCCTTCCAATGTATTGTAACTCTGTGGATGCTGTGCCCATGCAGTCAGTGTAGCAATCCAGGGATGTGAAATCCCTGTTCTCCCCCCCTTCTCTCTGCAGTGCTTCCAGGATGGATAAGAGCTATTCTGATTGGTCAATGGTGGCACAGAGCATCACTCTGATCCATTCCAGAAGTGCTGCAGAATTAAGAGGGAGAAGAGCAGCGGTTTCAAATCCCTGGATCAACTAAGTGGGCACTGACAGCTTAACATCCACAGAGGACCGGGGAGGTTGTATGATGTTAGTTCACCTTTTCAGTTTTTCTGTTAAAGGTGAACTAACACTTAAAATATATTAAGTTGAATATAACAAATAGCTATTTCATTATAGTTACCTTTTTGTTTTACATTTACCATTCTTTTAATTTAATAACTTTGTACCTGAAATAACTCTGCAAAGGAAGAGGCAGGTTTGTTGGATTTCACTTTGGCGTGTTGCATAGTACCATACACAATGCAGCAGTCTATCTTTCTTTCTTCCCAATACCTAGAGGCACTAACCTACTTTGTTTCTTAACTTGCAGTAAAGGAGATTTTTAAAAAAAAAACATAAAAGAGCTTTAAAACAAGCCATCGCTGAGCTCTCTAGCTGAATACACTGTAATTCATTCTCTAAGATCCTCCAAGATCAAAAATCAGTTTCCAACAGCTTAGAAACACCGACGGTGTGTTTTATATTAGGCTGCCACAATTCTGCTGCAACAGAAAATTAGGGGAAAGGAGCCTCTCTTGTGAACTTTGAAGATTAATTTTCCCACAATGTATACATGTACATAGTTGAAAAAGGGCTCGTATTAAAAGGCTTTTACTGGTTAATCAGGCTATGTAAAAACTTTAGTGTGCACAGGTTCATTTTAAGAGTAAAAGTGGTAAAAGGTATTTTTATTTTTGGTGTTTAAACTGGTGTGTAACTTTTGGCCTAGGACCTTATTAACCTCTCCTGTGCTACATTTGGAGATACTCCTGACCTTTAAATAATTATTTATTTCCTGTTAGCTGCTGGGAAATAATACTGTAAATTATGCCCTTAGAATAAAATCCATAATTCCACAGCTCTGCATTTGGTAAGAGGAAGAAAAAGGTCCCTTTCACACAGGTGATCCAATCAGGTCAGCCTGTCAGTATTTCAGGAAGACCTAATCAGATGGTCCATGTATCCCTATGGACCAGCAGGTGTAAATGGACTTGTGGTCATTTACACCCACCTACCTCCAATCCGATCTGGTTCACTAAGAAAAAAACAGAAGGGGATCTGTTCCCCTCTGTCTAGGTGGATCAGATCAGAGGGCAGATGGGTGTAAACAGACAGCTGGTCCATTTACACCCAACTGCTCATAGAGCAGGGCAGGCATGGTCCATGTCAGCTCTGCATAAACCGAGTGGACATGGACCGGTTATCTGCCTTCTCTTGTCTGCTCAGCAAGGAATCAGTTGACAGATCGCCTACTGAGCAAAGAAGATTCTGCCCTGTGTGAAAGGCCTAAGAAATAAGCAATGATGCCTTCACCATTACCTATAAATGTAGGGAGATTGTATGTAACTATTCTAAATCTGGGTGCAAATGTCTGATGCATATCAGTATACCCACTTACCCTCAAACAGTTGTAAGTCAGGAAGTTGGTCACAGTATATCCACCTTTCACATTATCAGGCATCACATCATCATTGCCGAACACACCCTTTAAGCTGATGGTATCAGTGACTGGCTGAGGACCGACGTACAGGTTCTGCATTTCTAAAACTGCCAGGCGCCTCATACTATACCTTATCTGTCAAGGAATGTAAACACAACATGATCAGAGAACTATAGAGTCTACAAAAGGTTTATGTGATGTGATTTGATGTATTGCAGGTTTTTGCTGCTATCCAGGGCTCCATTAAAAAGATTTTCCATCACTTCTTGCCCCATTGACAGCAATTTCATCAGAGTAAGGATACATTTCTAACAACAAGGCTAGAATCCCTGTCAGCTTTTTACTGCTGACTTGTTACAGGAAGGAAATGATCCTGGGTATAGGTACTTGATCATTTTCAATCACATGTTTGGGTAGCAAGCGGCAAGGGGGAGGTCTGAAGTGTAAATACAGCTTTTTTTTTCTTGCTTTAGCACAGTATAAAACCCAAAAGCAAACATTTAATTATATTGCTGCTTACCAATTCTTAGATGTGATGACTGCATTTGTCTTCTTTTTATACTCTCTTTACCTTATTTTCACCTGGTGATCTAGCCAGTAGGTCTGTTATTTTTCAAAAGAACAAGCTCTCTTGCAGATATATCAGTTACCAAACCATTTAACACCAACAGGGGTCCTTACAATGGTCAGCCTTTATTTATGTAAAATCTTTATCTTAAAAAGGAAAAAAACTGCTGCTGTAACTGCTTATAAAGTGTGTGCTTGAGTTTGGCTTCAATATGTAGTGTATCTAAATTTGCCAATACATCTAAAATTACCCTCCTCCCAGACTGACAATGCTGCTGTCCAAAAGGTGTCCATTGCTCATTCTAAAAGAGTGGAAGCACTCTAATACAGGCCAGATCATCAAGTGAAAACAGAGGGAAAAAACGTACAAAAATAAAACAAATGCAACCAGCACATCTAATGATTGGTAAGCTGCAATATATTACATTTTTGGGTTTGTGTTTAATACTGCTTTAGGTTAGCTACAATCCCTGCATTCTCACTGCAACTATGTAACATTAGACCTCTATGCCTGACATCTCTGCAGCAGTATCATAGTTTTGAACTAAACAGCATGCAATTATGTTAACATGGATCATGATGATATGAAGAGAGAGAGCAGAGGGATGACCTTTTCAGTCTACTGCTGCTATTTTTTCACTGCTCAGTCAGCAGGCATGGGGTGTAGAGAAGACAGCATTGTATTTATTTTACAGCAGAGTTAGAAAACCTTTGAGAGGTAGAGATCTACCCAAGGCCCTTTTTTTTTTTAAGAAATTAACCAGCAAGAAAACAATAAAAAGAATGGCATGAAGAAAACCTATAAAAATCTAAATAAACAAATGTCATTGTTAAAAAAACAAAAAATCTATAAGAATGCGTATACTTACCCATTTTCATCTTGCCCCAGACCGGTCATGTGCTCTTCCCTGTGATGGCCAGCGGCGGCTGTAGAGGAGAGAGTGCTTGACAACAGTTGGTAAAACCTGGAGTGGTGGTGTCACCCATAGGCTCCTGTGTCTCAGCTGTTGTTAGTACTCCCTCTTCTCCCCTACTGGCTCACACAGATGAGATAACGTGACCAGATTGAAACAGCCTGAAAACAGGTTAGACACCATAGGTGTTAGGAGGGGAATTTTTAAGGCTAGTTAGGTTTGAGCTCAAAATTCCCTTAACACTGGCTAACATACATTTACATTGCCAGTTTAGAGTGGAATACCAGGATGATGCCTGCAGCTACAGAAATCATCCTGGTATTGGTTTTTCAGGCAGGTGAAGCTTTTTGTAAAAGCAACCCTAGTGGCTAATTAGCTGCTGGATTGCTTTTACAGGTAGCGGAAGGGGATCCCTTCCACTCCCACCGCCCTCTGGTGCCTCTATGCACTGATGGTCAGCGGTAGTGTTATTTCAAACTACCCACCCTGTTGGTGGGAAGTGACAGTTAATTAATACCTTTGTGCTGCTTTAGCAGCCAGTGGCACTGTTTAATAACCCCTTCATGCTGAACCATAAAGGACTTAATGAACACTGACACTGGTGCCACTAATGCAGCATAAAGGGGTTAATTAACTGCCACTGGTCACTAATGCATCAGTGACTAGTGGCAGCACATTAACCCCTTCATGCTGCACATTGCTAATTTCATTAACCCCTTCATGGCCCTCTCTTCATCTCCCGCCTCCCGGCCTCTGAATGACAGCAAGTCAGAGGCGGGGACTAGAAAACATCTGTCGGGTGGAGATCACTCCGCCAGACAGAATGTATTCCTTCTACACTATTGCGAGTCCAGGACACAAGTTAGCCAAAAACAAAGGAACTCTAAGTAAGAATGGGCAGTAAGAGATTTGCTCACCTTCATTTAACTCTGGATAAAGAAGAAATAGATGTTGATCAATGCCAGAGATCATAGATAATGCCAGAGATCATAGATAAGCTAAGGAAGGCCAGGTCATCAGAAGTGACACTGAAAACAGCAAACAGTAAGACATATAAGGCCACCCCTGCACCTGAAATACATCTTATAGTAGTACCTGACCTACCTCTGAGCGCACATAGTCAACCAGACGCTGCCCTAAGCCCATCAATCTCTCGCCTCCATCGACGCTTGTCATCTTCATCAAAATCACGTCTGTTCGATTTTTCAAGCCTGGAGCGCAATACCTTTTCCCACGCCAGACGCACTTTTACAGCCTCAGAAATAAGATGCAGGGTATTTTCAGGATCTTCCATGTTCATTTCTATCCAGCCATCACACACAATGCGGCAGCAGTCAGTGTTGGTGTCCAAGGAACGAGCCAAAAGTAGAAGACCCTACCACATAGACAATGAAGATACAATGACAGCTGTATCTATCCACTTGTCACTTGGTTTATGCACTCAATACCCTACCGCTTCTCTATCCTTCCCTAATAAATAACTCCAATACTCAAGTAGACAAGTAAGCAGCAGATAGCTGTGATCCCTTGGACAGTGCTTTACTGTTAAAGATTGATAATGTATTATGGAGATAGAAAATCAATGAAGTTCTCTGTTTGCATTCTGAGTAATAGGCAACTTACCTGCAAAGCTGGCAGTCTCACACAATTCACCAAATAAGGTTTGTTGGTCTCTAGTAGTGACACAAATCCTACAATCTGGTGCTTACTGCTCAGCCCCCGATTCTTTGAATCTGTAGATCAATGAAAACATGAAACTAGTTAAAATTTTACCATTGTGCTTGCAGGAAACAAACATTTTTTTTTATATAATTCTTTATTTAAAGCTGAACTCCACAATTTTTGGTCTTGCAATGGTCCAGCTTGGCACAATGTAAATATGCATATCTCACATACCTGATGAGTTGCTAGGAAGCTGTAAACTACTGTAGTAGTTGGTGCTACTATAGTGCTAGCTGCAGTCATCCAGATCCTGCTACGGTTCTATGCAAGCAGCTGCCCCACTGTACAATGACCACAGGGGGATTGCTTGCTCTGTACATCCATAGAACACCTTGTGTTTTTTTCAATAAATACAAGGTGTTCCCTGATTGGACAAGGTGGAGAGGACGGACAAAGACATCACAATCCCCACCAAACGCAATCACTGTACTTCTTGACATTGAGAAAAATGCAGGGCATTCTACAATGTTGAGAGTGCTGAGCAAACATGGGTCCTCCGCATGTGTGAAATTTAACACACTTCTGCCTCTGACTGTTCACCTCAGGAGATTCAGAGTAAAATTTGGCGATGCCACTACTGTACTGCTCACTATTGTTCTTACTTAAGCTTTGACATGAGGAAGCAACAGCCCTGCCTCTACCAAGATAGCCACTTCCACACACAAAGATGCAATGCACAACAAATCATATTAAGTCAGTAAGGAGAAAACCAGCTGCAGGGAGACCACAGGCAATACCAGTAACTACTTCCTTGCCTTCTAACTGCTTTTTTGTGGTTACAGCTTACATAGTTCATTTTATCTTTAGGACCAACATATATCATTTGGACCAATACAGTTTTCTCTGTTACTAAGCCACTACTATTTTTTCCTTCGGTATCTGAGGAGGCACAAAGCATCACTTACTTGTTCTCGTACCTTTCTGTTTGTGTCTCTAGATTGGGACCCTCTTTGCTAATATATCATCTTCTTTTTTTTTAACCTCTCAGGGTGATCCTATCACTACAAGGTCACTTTTAATAAAAAACGGATTCAGTGCAGACTGAAAAGAGTCCTGTCTGATTTCTGAGCTGTGCAGTCCAGTTCAGGTGCGATTACAAGCTGTTGACTTCTATGGGAACAATTTCTAAACCGCATGTTATCAGTTGCGAACAGGACAAAATACTGACCCGAATCTGATGTAAACCTGAACTGAACCGCTGAAGAACTACTGTGTCAATTAACTGTGTATCCTGAGCTTCAAACCAAACGTGTGAATCCGCTGTTATCCATAACAATTTCCTTTATTGAATTAAAGTGATATTAAAGTCTTCAACTTTTTTTTGGAGGGGGGATCCAAATTTACAATGTATGATGAATTTTCTTTTTTTCAAACTGTCTCTTTTTACCTCCTGAGTGCAAAGTCCCAAAGCTGTTAGCCACCCATTAGCCAGTGCTTTGTGCATCCATAGACACACATAATGCCCACCAAGCCATGCCCCTAGCGACTTCCTTCTCCCAGCAATTCGACTGAGAGGAGAACCTGCCTCTAGAGCCTAGAAAATCAGGGAAGCGGCACAAATCATGGGGACAAGCAGCGGTGACAACAAACCACAGGTAAGTGTTTGGGGAAGGATGGGGGAAGGGTAGGGTGTTTGCACAGACAGGCTCTAGAGAGCTTTCACTTTAATGCAAAGAATGTGTTAAAGTTAAAAAATAAAAAAAACACACCAGGATTTAGTAGCACTTTAACCACTTCAATGCAGGGCACTTTTACCCCCTTTCTGCCCAGGCCAATTTTCAGCTTTCAGTGCTCTCACACTCTGAATGAAAATTGCGCGGTCATGCAACACTGTACCCAGACATAAACATGAAGAAACACGGCTTAGGTAAGTGAAGTGACCAGTCCCAATGCCTATTCCACTGACATGTACCAGCCCAGCTTGCCACCGTGCTGAACTGTAAAGAAAAGGAAGGATGGCCTCACTCCGCAAAGTGATACCGAAGATAAAATGTCTTTAGTCTAGATGGCAGTACACAGGATACAAGGAAGTGGTTGACCGGTTTCACACGATTTCAGTGCCTACTCATAACCCAAGACTGTACCCCAACTAGATTATTATCAGTCTGTTTATACAACTAGAGCTTTCCTATGGTGGTATTTGATCACCACTGGATTTTTAAATTTTTCCTAATACACAAAAAAAGACAGAAATTTCTGAAGAAAAAAAAAAGTCTTTGTTTCTGTTTTACAAATTTAAACAAGCTTTCTTCATATATTTGGACCAAAATGTATACTGCTACATTTCTTTGGTGAAAATAACCCAAATCAGTGTATATTATTTAGTCTGTTGGAAAGATATAGAGTCCACAAACTATGGGATATATATCTGAAAATCAATTAATCCTGATGTACTGGCGGCCGATCTCATTTCTTGAGGCCCTAAAATGTCAGGACAGTACAAATTACCCCTTTTTGGAAGGTAGACAGTCTATTTAGCATGGGGAGTTTTTTTAACTTGTACTTTGCCATCATTTTTTTTTTCTTTACATACTGTCACCAGTGCAGTACAGCCTCATCATATAACTGGTGTGGAGGTGATCAGGGACACTGACTGGTGATAGTACAGAAAATAAACGTATTTTATTTTTTATAATTTTTTTTTTTTTTTTTTAAACACACTGTGACCAGAGTAAAATAATGTTACCATAGTAAATTGATCAGTATTTTATTTCAAGCATTTTACTAAATAAAATTGATGTGTTTGTTTTTTTATTATTAGCTGTGATTAGCCACAGCTAATCACATGACACAGATGGGCTGTGATTGGCCCAATCTGTACCATATGATCACTGTGACCAATCACAGCTAGCAACACAATTGTATACAATGGATGGCATTAAAGGAAGCCATCCATTGTTTACAATTGTCATGTGACCTGCTGTAATTGGTCACAGTAGTCAAATGGTACTGATGACAGATTTCTCTGCAGTGTAGCCCCACGGGGGTGCACAAGACGATGATCCGGGTGGACGTCATATGACATCCACCTGGATTGACGAAAGTCCTGTTCAGTCATCATTTTACTATAGGCTGGGCAGGAACTGGTTAAGTTGTTTTACGTTATCCTATATTTTTGAACAATTAGTTGTAGCAGGTCATAGAAGATGACGTTACAATAAATAAAAATACCATTCACATTGACTTCCTCTTGGTCCTCGTCTACTTGAAGGAGCTCTGGATTACTGGAGAAGACAGATGTTGGGTGGAGGACAATCCCCTGCTTGCTTTTTGTGTGGAAGACCTATATACAAAGATTGAGCAAAAATAATTTTGAAAGTTTCAAAAGGCATCCTAAAATTTATGTAAATCCAGAAGTTTTTAACTATTTTTTTTACTTCAAAAAACGGAGATAAAATATGCTAGAACGGGGTTTTTAATGCTATCCAGGGCTTTGTTGGAGATATTTCCTCTAGAGAGATGTCCACTAACAAAGATGCTCCAGATAGCAATAAAATCCTCAAACGAGTTCTAACCCTTCCCACTAAATCCAAAACTAGCAAAAAAAAAAAAAAGTTTTGGCTGGACATTCATTTTAAGTAAAAGAAAAAAAAAATACAACAGCACTCACCTGGTCAGAGTCCTTTCGGCAGCTGTTAAAGCTATCTGGTAGTGCCAGTTGCGGGTACAGTCCATGGCACACGATAAGCTTGAGCAAGGAAAGTTGTCTGCTTGACAGCTCCTCTCCAGCACCAGACAGTTCTCGCAGCTCATCCACATTGTGTCTTAATTTAAACTTCACATCCTGCAACATGATATTAAGTTTCCAGTGCCAACAAGAAATAAACAGCGAAGCTCTCATGGATACAAGAACATTAGGAAGGTAATGTATCATGATTTGCATTAAGAGCCCATTCACACTTGTGCAACTTGTTATGAGACTTTGGGGTCCAAAGTTGCATGACAAGTCGCAACCCATGTTTCCCAATAAGTACCATTAATATATGTGCAACTTCAAGTCACAGCAACTTGAAAGTAGTTGCTGCACTACTCTGGTCCAACTTTCAAGTGACTTGAGGGCCATAGCCTTCAATGTAAACCCTCCAAAGTTGCATGAAAGTCGCACCTGAATGATATACATGCAACTTGTGTTCAACTTTGCAACAAACAATCATACTTGGTCAAAGTCGTGTCAAAGTTGAATCAAGCCGCAATGTAAAGTCACAATGAAATTCGCACAATTTTGAAGTTGCACAAGTGTGAATGGAGCCTAATGCAAACCCTCATAGTAGTTGCTATAGTTAAGTATAAGAAAATGACTAACAGACCTATGCTGAGTGAAAGCTAGATTGATTACTTGCCTGGATATCTACAGAATTGTTCCTTTCTTTACTAGATTTTTTGTCCTCATCACTGGAGGTTCCCAATTCCTCATCCTGCAATTTAAGCACTTTGCGTTTGCGTTTCTCTGTGCGCTCATGCTCCCTCTTCAGCTGGTGAAGCTCCTTGCGTTCCTTGTGTTGCCGCTGACGCCTGTATCGGTCAACTGTTCGGGTTTCACTCTCCTGCAGCATTCCATGGTCCTTTAGTAACTCCTAGAGAAAGAAATTAACCCAAGGGATAAATATTACTTCAGGACATTTGAGGAAACTCACAAATACAGTCACAAAACAGTATGGAGAGGGTTACAATGATTGTTAAGGAACCTGCAGATAGTTCAAGTTACACCTTACATGCAGGCATCAGACTTCATAAAATTAGAAAAGAAAAAAAAAGTCTTCTACAATTTAGTACCAGAGTATGTTATATGGCCATCCATTCAGGCTATACTAAAGCAGACCTTGCACCTAAATAGCAATGACATCTTTTTATGTGTGCCCCCTTCTTTCCTTGCTGAAACACTGAATACAAATTTAAAGAAAGTTCACCTTAAAAAAATAAATAAATAATAAATGCCCACTTTTTTTGCAGGTAAAAAAAAAAAGTGAATTTATTTATTTATTTTTAGGAGCCTATACATCACTGCACCCATGATCAGCAGATTTGCAGGTGCAGTGTCAGACTCCTGCAGACTGTGTGTAGCTGTCTGCCCATACCTACAATACAAGCAGGCAGTTACTGAATGACAGGAAGATCAATGAACTACCAAAGTGCTCATTAGCGCCCTCATACTTCATTAAGAACTACAAACTGCCAGCTGCATGGATGATATTACCTGCAGTTCTTTCATTCACAGAACTCTGCATGAATGATGCGGCTGTGTGGGCTGACCCCCACACAGCCATATTCTTTTTGAATTATGACAGCAGGTGAAGATCCCTGGCCCACTGACACAGGGAGATGCTAAACATGTAAATGTTACACCCTAAATATGGGTGTAACATGTTCACAAAGGTGAACTTATCCTTTAAAAAAAAAAAAAAAAAACACTTTTAGGGGGAAAAAAACGTTAGATAATATACTTGTCCTTGCCCCAGCTTCTGCCCGGGCATCTAGAGGAGGGTGATATCATCACCCTTCTGGCAAGATCTAGGGATTGTAGAGTAGCCAAAATCTCATTGAAACCGTGTTCCCAGCACTGTGCTGCAGAGTCTTCTCAAGAGATTTGAAGTGGTCCCCATTCCCCAATTCTCGATGACAGGAGGAGGACTTTGATGATGCACTAGAGAAGTCGGAAAAAAGGCGACTATAATATCTAACTTTCCCCCCTACAGGTTTTCTTAAACTTTTATACAGGGTTTCATCAAGGGGAAAAAATTAGCGCATTAAACATAAGAATTTGCATAAAGTGCAAAATTTGCTTTAATAAAGCAAACGTAATCAGTAAAAATGGAATGACAAATCCAACACTCCAACAATCCAACACACCTGTACTAACTAATTCTATACTGATAAAAGGTAAGAGCTGGTAAGTTGCTATGGTTTACTGCACTAAAACATTATTACTACATATTTGAATGGTCTAATTACATAAATCTGTTTGTCTCCACCCTCACCAATCAACAAGGAAACATTACGAGAAAAGGCATCACTTACCTTAAACTGACGCCGCAGGTTTGTCATCTCATATAACCTTTGCTCCTCCAGCCCCCGCCTTCTACACCACTTTCTGGAGTTACTGCCACGATTTGACTTGATCTGGTGCAAAACATTTCAAAAATATTCCTCAGTAGGTTCCTAAGCCTATTTGTATTTTATAAAGCCAAAATACAAACATTTGAACTATACTGGGAAAACACATTTTAAAAGGCATCAAAAACAAATCTGGTTTTCTCTAAAAAAAAAAAAAATATTTGGACAGTGTCTAGCACATACAGTAAAGGTAATGCAGAGAAACATATTGAAAGAAACAATAATTGTTTTTTTAATGGTTACTGCACTGAGAAAATGTTAAAGACTAGAAGCTGTGTTGTTTCACCTTCTTACTTCCATACTATGGGCTAGTGGCTGGTTCAGCCACTCATCTCTACTACATCTGCGGGTTTAAGGAGCTTTCCATCAGCTTTCAGTTACTGAAACTGTCACACGTTTTGGAAGATCAGAGGAAATCTGCCACCAATAGCTTCAAGCATCTAATTATTAAAATTGCAGTGGAGGTCAAGTACATCCATCTTGATACCAGAAAAAAATGCATTTCCAATTCAATTTTCACCCCAGTTTTAACATTTTAGTCCAATGAAATCAGAAAACTATCACATTCCTAGGGGGCAACATACCATTGACTGGTAAATTCCCATGCTAACGTTTTTGTAACTCAAAAGCAGATGGAAAGCAGTGTGTTATTTACTTATTTAATATGGGCTCTGCAATTTGATTTTCAAAATGTCTTCAGAATAAAAATCATATGTAATTAACACCATGTAAAGTATTTATCAACAAACTCCTTGAACCAAAAATAAACTAGCACTTTCCTTCTCCAAAGGTGCCCCATGCCCCTTCATCAAGAGTGGAGGCCCTCTAATACAGGTGTGTTACTGGCCAAATCACTAGGGGAAAACAGGGGAGAAAAAAGCCTATAAAAAGAAAAATGAATACAGCCACCACATCTAATTGGTAAGCTGCAATATATTGAATTTTTGGTTTTGGGTTTAATACTGCTTTAACAGTCCTTAAATGAGGTGGCTGCATTGGTTTTCTTTTTTCATTCTTTTTGTCTTCCTCTACTTTGTGAAGGTAGCAATGATTGCAAGCTAGGCTTATGTCTGCCTTTGGTCTTCTCCATTCCTTGGACTAAGAAATGGGAAATTAGAAGTTTACATAAATGAAAGAACATTTTTTTTCCCAGGCCAGCTCACAGAACGTGACAAAGACACTGCATTTCAGGCGCATCAACAAATATTTCTGTACTTGCTAAAAAATATCTTAGCTTTTAAAAAAAAAAAAGCTAATGCAGCCACCACATCTAAGTACATGTATGCTGCTATATATTACATATTTATTATTTTATTGGGTTTAGTAATGCTTTGGCATTCAATGCTGCATCCCTTTTAAGCTATTTCTTTTTTAACAATCAGTCAAGTTTTGGCACAAAATAATGAAATACTGTTGCGACTCGGGAGTTTTGTAATTCTGTGTCCATTGATCTTGTGCCAAACTTTGTCCCTTCTACTATTTTCCTGAAATCAAATTCAGAAGAAAGAAAGCGGTCATAATTTTCTCCTCAGAAGCCAACACCATTCATTCTCCCTCCAGAGCTGAAAAACAATCATTTCCAACACAGAAATATATTGACATGAGCACAAGGAGTAATAAAAAGCACTTAACTAACTTAGCAATCTACTGATATTGTTTCCATGTTAGGAAGGTACATTTTTAAATGTGATTGGAAACAAAGTCTTTTAAATCAGAACTGCACAACTACAATGTTATTACACATGTATAGTTATAATGTTTTTATATTGCACTCAGTCACCTGGAGCCACTCATTGAAGACATTGAGCAAAGTGAATGGATCTCCATGATCACTCTCTAAGGGTTTCCTGGCTGTGGTGCATTCTGGATTGTTGGTTGCATTTCGTAGAAATGGAGACTGTACACTAAGGGCTGCTGCTATAGTCAGAACTGGTTCCACAAGGCTGAACAGTGAACCCAGGATAAGCATCTTTCCTGCAGGGCAATATTAGATAATAACAATTATGTAATATGTTAGAGCAAGGATGACATTCAAAGTTCATTAACCCATAGCAACCAAATAAGATTAATTAAAATCAGTTAGGCCAAGCAAAGAGGATCTCTGACTGAATTATATGCACTACTGAACTTTTCACATTCATATTTTTTATTAACAAACCATTATATAGTGGAAGACTTCAGATTCACAATAAAGATACAAAAATAGTTTTTTATCAAATGCCATTATTACCAATAACTACATCCACCGGAAGCTTTGCCAGCAGGTTACCAATCGGTGTGAGCTCCTCATAAACATCCAATGCGCCTTGGTCTTTCAAGTACAGAATGGCTGTCTCTATACTTGACATAGGAGGCTGCTCAATAAATGGAAAAATACGGGGATCTCCCAGGCCCATGCTTTTCATCTGAAAATATCACAGCGAAGATGTGTTACAACTCTAACCAACTGGATATATCAACAAATAAAACACATATAAGAAAACTGGAGTACCCTCGAACCCCTCGTGTATTGTTTTGTTACTGTATTGTCTCATGTACTGTCCCTCACTACAATGTACAGCGCTGAGCAAACCTTTTGGCGCTATATAAATACTGTATAATAATAATAATAGATGTTCAGCGCAGAGAACAAACAGAAGTCTTGTGTTCAGAGACAGTGAGCACATGGGCTGATGTAAAGATCATGGAGCAATACAAACAAAGCAGGGGCTAAGCTGCAGGTCAATGATCAGTGCAGATGAAGTAGGGCATGGAGTATAAGTCAAGGACTGGTGCCAACAAAGCAGGGACTGGTTGTGGAGATTAGTGAACAATGCAGGCAAAAAGCTAATATGCCAATAGTTGTCTAAGGACAGACAACAGGATGCAGTGCCTGGTCAACACCAGAGCACCTAGGTGAGACAGTTTGCCTGTGACAGCTGAGACTACAGACAGGATTAGGAGTGGCATCAGTTATGAAGTAGAGTTGTAGTTGCATCAGGTAAAAGATTAGAATTGGCAGCAAACATAATCAGAAAACTAGGCAGTTAATAAGGGCAGAGAGGATCAGAATCCAAATAACAGTCCAAGTCGGGAATCAATAAACAACTAAAGCTTAGACATTGTCCCCCTTTTTTTTTTCTCTATGAATGGAGGAGAGAGATACATTGTATCTCTCTCTCTCTCCTTGCATAGAGGAAAAAAAAAACCTGATTGTTAAATAAATAAATATTAAAAAATAAAAGAAAGAATAAAGAAAAAATACCTAGATCAAGGTCTGATCTAGTTCAGTGCCCGGGTTAGCTTTTGGGTCAAGGTCAGGGTCAAAGGTCCGGATTTTTTTTTTTTTTTAAATCGGTATCAGTTTCAGTTAGTGTCAGTGTGTTTTAGGTAAAAAAAAAAAAAAATGCGCACTATTGTTTCTGAGCTGTACTGTGGGTACAAACAACAGATAACATACATATATGGTATTGCTGCGATTGTCAAGAGCTGGAAAATGTATTTTGGGTTCTTTGGTGGTAGGTTATGGTAGTAACAAGAGACACAGAGCTAAATTAAAAAAAAAGATTTCTTTTTTTTTACTATTATGGGCCAGTTTTTTCCTTTGATAATAAAAAAAAAAAAAATCAGGAGATACCCATTACCATTTACCACCAAATAAAAGCCCAAAAATAAGGTATAATCCACCTGGATGTACAAAGTAGTTGTGATGATATGTATGGCATTAAGATTTGTTATACACTTAAGCGTAAAGGGGTTAAAGAATACATAAATAGGTTAGACAGTGCTTCTTTAAGTATTGGTCTTAAGTTCAGCTTTAGAAGTGTTTTATAGATCGGCCTGCACATGCTCTTTAATAGCAGTCACTAGCTCATTAAAGACATACTGAATAATTCAAAAGACACCTGAAGTACAAGAGCATCCAAGGCCACACGCTGGATCTCTGGCACAGGATATGCCGCAAAGGCATCATAATCCGATTCTGCATACAGACGGTAACACACACCAGGACCAGTTCTGCCTGCTCGTCCTTTTCTCTGCTCAGCACTGGCACGGCTAATCCAGAATTCCTGTAGTCGCTGCATCTTAGCCTTGGGATCAAAACTCATCTCCTTCACTTTTCCTACAATACCAAAAGTACCAGTTGTAGCCAACAATATATCAGGGGACAAAAAAGATCTAGTTATTAAACTAAGAATGCTATGTTTTGAAAAAAGCTCTCCTGACAAGGAAATGCTGCTGCCTGTACATGGTGATTATTATCTTTTGCAAAAGCAGCACAAATAAAGCCAAAAAAGTACTCATCAAGTACAGATCATCCAGTAGTGTGATACCACTTTCTGATCAATTCAGGAGGACAAGTTTGCAAAAATTAGTGTCATCCAAATCCATCAGTGTTTATAAACAATGACCACATGTCTCATCTGCCACCAAGGTAGGGAAACTATGTAGAGCATGAGAGAGATCATTTTCTGTGCTGGGCTGAAAATATTGCAAGAACCTGTGCATTGTAGCCACGACACACTGATCACGGGTGCAATGCTCTGCAAACTTCATTGCAAAAAAAATGAGTAAAAGCACATTGATCATACAATCAATGTTGCTACATTTGCTTTTTTTTTTCCTCTTACATCAAGGGTGGACTTTAACTTTAAACTGTATGTACACCCAATGGAACTACTTATTGCATATAAGCATTGCCCAAAACCTTATCAATAAGTGGCTATAAATCACATAATTTCAATAAGTTCAAATACCTTTTTTGGCCTTTCATCTTGCGATCACATGATGAAGTTCATGTACTTCCACACCTCGCTATCTTGAGACTCAGGTGGGTATTAGTTTGTGAATTAGTGTGTGGTGATGCTCTGAGAATGAAAGAACACATCCCCAGGATCTCTTTAGACTTGCATGGTCTTCCCTGTTGGCTACTGGGTGGTTGACTTTAGCTGTACAGTTTGCTGATCAGTTGCATGATTACACTGTGTTAGACCTGCTTCTGAACAGATCTTGCAGCCAACATCTTCAACGCCCAGCGACGAACAGTGAGAAACAAGTGCATTTAAAGGGATACTGGGGATGTGTTCATATTACTCTCAGGTTAAGAGCTGAGCACAGCTTCCTCCCTGGGGGAAAACTGAAGCATGCGCAACACTAAATACGTAGATTGACTGGATCAATGTTGCCTCACTGAATAAAGTAGTAGAGAGAAATAACAGAATCAACGAGGTATTTACTACCTAGGAATATAGCAATGGAAGAAAATATTGAGCACACGGAAAAAGCAATTCATTTTAGAGCCAATGACAGATAAAAACTTTTTGGGGTTTAATGACACTTTAAGTGTCTTTTAGCATTTGCAATCTTGTAATTAATAAAAAAATATATATTTTTAATAAAATTTATGTTAATTGTGCACACTCTTGTGATCATAGTTCAGTTTTACCATTGTGTGGACATCATTTGCAGGACACCTTTGATCCAATAGACATGCAGTCAAAAATATATACATATAGCATGTAAATGAAGTGAACCACATTGAATTTCCAAAGAACAGTCTACTCTGCACAGGTTCAAATACCAAATGTAAAAAACACCCCTACCGTAAACATTTACCCCATAACTACTTACCGGAGTCTAGAACAAATCTTACTCCATCTATGGTGACAGAGGTCTCGGCAATGTTAGTGGAGATTATACATTTTCTGACTCCTGGAGGAGTCAAGTCAAAAACCTGTGGGTAGGATAAATTCAAGAACAAAGAACTTGCATTAAAAACAATGATACTATATTTTCATATTCTCATCCCTTACAAATCACGTTCCAAGCAGTGTATTCAATTAAAATGAACTTTTCACAATGCCGGAAGAAGGGGGATGTGTCTCCACTGGATTATCTGCACTGCAGTTCTGCCTGAAGACCCAAAGCTGAATAAAGATGTAGGGATTTTTTAAGCTAAACATCAGCTTTATGGAAAAACTCACTATGTGTTGCATTACCAGCGACCCCACCGCCTCCCCTTTTTTTTGCAAATAGATTTGCAAAAAAAGAATACAGCTTTAAAGAGACATAAAACAAATGCTGCAATATAAAATATAAGCACCTAAAACTAAAACCTTTAGCAGCCTCTAACACCCTACTTTTATGGCCGAATCTTTGTCCGTTCTGACAGGCAAAGTTCCAACACAAAATTAGTGTTAATATTAATAAAAACTTGTAGCACGCTGGGGTTGATTTACCAAAGGCAGGTAGATTTCACTTTGCAAAGAAAATTGCGATTTTCAAGCAAATTTTCTCCAGAGTTTATAAAATGAGATGAAGCTCTGTTGATTTATATTATCCAATCATATACAAACAAAAGTGTTGCTTTTATTTCCCTTGCATGTGGTTGGGTATTTTTTTTTTTTGCAAAGTGAATTTTTACCATATTCACTAAACTCCGGGGAAAATTCTCTTGCAAAGTAAACAGCCTATTTGTCTTAACAACTTGCCTACTGGGCACTTTTACCCCCTTCCTGCCCAGGCCAATTTTCAGCTTTCAGCGCTGTTTCACTTTGAATGACAATTGCGCGGTCATGCAACACTGTACCCATTTTTTTCACACAAATAGAACTTTCTTTTGGTGGTCTTTAATTGCCACTGGGTTTTTTTATTTTTTGCACTATAAACGAAAAAAGAGCAAACATTTTGAAAAAAAAAAGGTTTTCTTTGTTCCTATTATAAAATATTTCTCCTTCACTGATGTGCATTGCTGCACTGATAGGCAGCACAGATGGGCATTGAAGAGGAGGCATTGATGATGCTGCACTGATATGCAGCACTGATGGGCACTGATAGGCAGCAATGATAGGCAATAATAAGCAGCACTGACTGGCGGCACTGACTCATGGCAGATTGGTGGCACTGACTGGTGGCACCCTTGGGCAGCACTGCTGGCCACTGATGGGCAGCACTTTTGGGGCTGCAATGATAATCAGTGCCCTGATTATCAGTGCGGATGTCTTCTGTAACACTTGCCGGTTATCGGCAGTACTTTCCTCACGCTGTGATAAACGGCAACTGTATTTACTTTGTGATCAGCTGTGTCACTGGACACAGCTGATCATGTGGTGAAAGGTCGCTGTGACTGGCCTTTTACCATGTCATGTAATCATTTGGGGCCAAAGAGCACAGCGATCACAGACAGCGCTTGGTGCGCTCCACTGGGGGCGCGCAGGGGCACATTCTGGGAGGACATCATATAACGCCCTCCTAGAACTGGAGAACAACGCTGTAGCTGTCATTCGGCTATAGCGCGGTTGTACAGTGGTTAAGTAAATCAACCCTACTCCTATAGGATGCATAAAAAGTTCCAAGACACTGTTCCCCACCTTTCCCATAGTTGGACTTCTTCATTTCATAAGAAAGGTACTAGCTAATACTTTCCTAGTTTATCCGCCCATCAGGGCCGGATCTAGCCTGTCTGATCTGGGGGTGCAGTAAAAAGGGGGTATAATGTCTGCACACTAGCATTTTATCCTCTCCTCTCTTAGCTCCCTACATCTCCATGTTGCTTCAATGAAAAGCACATGTATTAGACCAGCATTTCTCACGCATAGCAGGAATAGGATGGGAGGCGGGGCAGGTGCGGCCTGCTCCGTCCTATCTATTCAGCACACTGTACTGTGCACTGACTACCCTGTCTCTCGCTCTATCTCGCCGACAGGATTGGTGTGAGATATTGAGTAATAGGATTGACACAGCACATTGCACCCGCCCCCAGCTCCCAGCCTGAAACTCCAGCAGTGACAGGGAGATGATGCTGCGCAGCTGACAAGTTATGGATTAATCTGTGTGCAGTGTGTGACAGGGCACACTGTGCCCTACACACGATGATGTGTCACTGGTCCTGAGGGGAGGCACCACTGTAATCTAGGGGGGCAAAGCCCATCCCAGCAGCCCCCTATATGCAGCCCTGCTGCCCGTGTCTTTACCGTTCCCAATTTTTCAGGACACCAGTTTCAACTCAAATATTGACTGGCTGGGAAAGACAATTAAGTTGTACATTGGACTGCACCAAGCACATGGTCAAATGCAAAAAGCATGGCGTGCTGTATGACATAATCTGTCTTGATATGTATAGCTCTAATACTGATAATTTGACCCCAAACCAAACACATTAATCTAGCAGCATTAAGACAATGATTTGTAAAAAGTTAAGAGAATGGGCATTTTAATAGTCCCACCTTATCTTGCTCTGCAATTGACAAAGTGCTGTGCAGAGGAAGCACAATCCAGCGTTGGGTGTGGGTGGCATAAACCTGTATTGCCTCTTGCACTGTGCTAATCTCAGTCACCCCACTCAGGAAGATAAGGAGGTCACCACGTTCATCTGTGGGGTATTTGTGATCGATGGCTTGTACCACACGAAGATAAGGCCTGGGGTCTAGTTTCTCTGATTTTGACACAGCTTCTTCCTGAGGAATCGGCTGATAAATTACCTGAAATAGAATATCTGTTAAAATTTAGTGTAAACCTATTATGTTGACTGAGCAGAAGAACCAATAAAGCCACTACCTGTATAGGGAAAAGTCTTCCTGGAACCTGCAGAACTGGGGCCTGGTCAAAATATTCAGAGAAGAGTTTGATGTTTATTGTGGCAGACATAAGAATGACTTTCAGATCAGGCCTCTGAGGAAGCAGCCGTCGCAAGACTCCCAGCAGAAAGTCACTGTGTAGATGTCTCTCATGAACTTCATCGACAATAAGAACCTGGTATTGAGGGATGTCAGAATCTCTCTGGATCTGACGTAGTAATAAACCTTCTGTAAGAAATACAATCTTTGTGGCTGGAGAACGGCTGCTCTCAAAGCGAATTTGGTACCCAACCTAACAGAGAAGAGTCAAGAAAACTTATTACAAGCAGCAAGTTAAAGCCAAGCTCTACTCAAATATAAAAACACAAATTAATGAAGCTCTCTTTATATTAAAGTGATATTAAAGCTTATTTTTAATTAAAATAAAAAATGTGTTATACTTACCTTCTCTGTGGATTGATATTGCACAGAGCGGTCCCTTACCTCTTCTTTGGAGGTCCCCTGCCAGCGCTCTCTGATCCTTCTTTTGAGTGCCCCCATAGCAAGATGTGAGCTGAGGGGGAGTCTATGCAGACTCCCGAGCTATGCTATGTGCTTCCTAGAGAAACACTGCTGTTCTCAGTGTAACCCATGATTTCAGTAAAAAACAGAAAAGGGCTACAGCCGGGACAGTGCTGGGGTGTGAGAGAAGGCAGGTATGCGTTTAGTGAAAAGGGAAGGTGGGGGAAGAAGTGGGATTTTTTTTTACCTTAATGCAGGAAATGCATTAAGGTAAAAAAAAAAAAAAAGTTCTGACTTTATAACCAATTTAATACATCTTATTTTACATTGAAGCAGTGTAGGTACCTGAATTTTGCTACATCATTTACTCAACTTTTTATCATTATCTTGCAGTCCCCAGTATAGCATAGATCGGGCTAGATCGAAACACAAGAAGCAAATTGTGCTTCAGTTAAGGGCATGCTGACAGTAGGAGGGAGCAGAGTGACATGGATCAGCTCATCAGTCTGCTACTTTTCCTTTCACTGTCAAGTCACAGGCTGGGGGAGGGACAAGACTTGTAGCAGTTACTTAACAGCAGCAAAGAAAAACCATAATTATGGTCAACCAAACAGGACTGTGCTGTGTGGCTGATCTGTGTAAAAAACCAAGAATGGATAAGCAGAGTAATTAGCTGACTGCCTGAATTTTAGCTTCAATAAATTGCCAAAAATAACATTCTGTATTAGATACATAATTGGTTTCCTTAAAAATGGAATCTCACCTTTGATCCATACTGGTTAAGGCTCTCAAATCCAACTCGCTTTGCTAATGAAATACAGGCAATCCTACGAGGCTGAGTACATGCAATGTGTCCAAACCCAGCTGCAAGTAGGTATTGAGGAACCTGTGTGGACTTTCCACATCCAGTGTCCCCCGCTACCACCACAACCTGATGGTCCCTCACCATCTGCACAATTTTATCTTTGTATTGAAAGATAGGCAAGCTTGACCTTTCTTTCCGAAGCTTAGTCAACTTCCCAAAACTTTGTCTCTGGTTAAAGTCCAAATAGTGCAGGATGGCTTTTTTGAATTCAGTCAATTTGTCTATGGGTATATCTTCATAGTTCCTGGATTTATGACCTTTCTTCTGATGACCATGAAGAGCTCTCTCAGCCTCTCTGCTTAAAATAATGGACATGTTAATGCGATATCTTGGATCATATTCCTTTGGAAGGTCAGCAAGTTTCTTTTTATGCCCTTCTTCCTCTCCCACGTCACTTCTTCTTGTTTTTTGCTTCTGAAGAACTTGAAATCGTTGAAAACGTTCAAAAAATACCCAAAACTCTTTGCTTTCTTCTGACTTAGATTTGATGTAACCACGCTCATCAAAGAACAGGTCTTCCAGACGTCTACGTGTTTCAGGATTGTTCCAGTCCCAGTGATTGCTGCTTCCCTCTCTTTCCATTCTACAGATTCGTGGATCTAAACTTTAAAATAACAAGAAAATATTTAGACAATAACTTCTTGTAAAACTGGCCTAAGTTGTTTATAATGTCATGGAGCACCTAAATCAGTGCCTTATGATATTTTCAAATAGTTGTGTAATTGTTCAAATAAATCCTTGTGTCTCTTTGGAGTCCTCTTGGATTTTTGAGCCAAGCTGTACATAGGTCACCAACTTCAGCCCTGGTCAAGATTAAGACCCACCTCTCAATTTTCAAATGCCGCACTCTACTGCTCACTGAAGATTTTCCAGTCAACGTTTCACCAAGGAAACACAAGGTTAATTGGTATATTAACTCCTAAACCAGTTTTTCTCAGCCAGGGTTCCCCCAGAGGTTGCTAGTAGTTCCTTGAGCATTGCCATTGTCTAGCAAGAGATTTTGAATTTTGTTAATGAAAAAACACAAAACGAGAGACTATAAAAAACAGTAAAGGAAACTTTGCTAACTTTGAGAACCATTGGAGTGTGTTATTTCATCTTATACACTGTGACCTATAATCTTTTTAGCTATGAGCAAGGCAAAATTCTTCCCATTGATCACCATACTAACGTTTTGTAAGAAATAGATATAGTATTATTTGCAGAGGTTCCCTGAGACCTGAAAGGTATTTCAAGGGCTCCTCCATGCAAATCATTATCACTGAGAATGAAAATGAAAGAAAATCCCAAATTATGAGTTGTCACCAGAATAGGAATAGAGGGGCAATCCTCCAATGGCAACAAAAAGGAATTTCACCACTTCTTGTTGTAGCAATAGGACAGGAAGTAAAGGGAAAGCTTCCAAATGATAAACAAATGGCAAAAAACTGACAAAAGTTACAACCCTTCTGAACTTTATCCAAAATTTAAAAAAAAATTGTCTTTGGTTCTACTTTAAGGTTTGTATGAGTACTATGTGAACTGGTGTTATGTTAATCCAAATATTATAGCTCATCCATTGGCAAGACATTAAACATTGAGATGGCACGCTCATCTGGACAGAACTTTCCTCTTCTGTCATGTGTATGTACTTGTTTAGGCCTTGTTAACACAGGACGATTACATCCATGCTGTGCCATGTTTTACCAGCATTGGGATGAATAGGTGTTCTGTGCATCCCCATGTGGGTAGTCCTATCCATGTCTATTGGGACACAGCAGTTGTGTCCCAACATGATGTATATGTGGGTGCATGTCCCCAAATTCACCCTGGGCATGTTCAGGGCCATGCACCCACATGAAAGACACATCCTATAAATACATCAGTGGTTCATATAGTGAACTCAGTGTAGAGTTATTCACACTGAGGTCATCACAGAGGACAAGAGGGTACTCTTTATGTCGGGAGGAAAAGAGATTTAATCTCCAAATACAGAAAGGTTTCTTCACAGTAAAAGCTGTGAAAATGTGGAATAGACTCCCTCAAGAGTTGATTCTGGCTAGCTCAGTGGATTGCTTTAAAAAAGGCCTGGATTTTTTCCTAGATACACAGAATATAACTGGATACTAACATTTATAGGTAAACTTGATCCAAGGAATATCCAATTACCTCTCAGGGGATAAGGAAGGATTTTTTTCCCCTGCAGGAGCAAATTGGATTATGCTTTTGCTGGGTTTTTTTTTGCCTTCCTCTGGATCAACTGTGGGTATAGGATTATAACTTTTTTTATAGTTTAACTAGATGGACTTTTGTCTTTTTTTTTAGTCAAACTATGTAACACTGGGAGCAGTGGCTATGTCTGTGCAGCTGCTGTGTCCCAATATTATTATTATTATTATACAGTATTTATAAAGCGCCAATAGTTCACTCAGCGCTGTACATTACAAAGGGGGACAGAACATGTGACAGAACAAAACCAATACAATACAATACATGAGGGGTTCGAGGGCCCTGCTCTTTCGAGCTTACAATAGACAACAAAGAATCTGCCTGCATGGGAAAAAAATGCAAAACCTTTGCATTCTTGTGTTGGTAAAACTTGGCCCTGCCCAGGGATGTTATCCCCCCAAGTAAATGAGACTTTATATGTGAATTATGTCATTTTTGCCATCTTTTTCCATGTAATGACCGTTGGTTTGAATCCCAGCCACGGCAATACCTGCCTGGAGTTTGCATGTTCTCCCTGTGCCTGTGTGGGTTTCCTCCGGGTACTCCGATTTCCTTCCACACTCCAAAGACATGCTGGTAGGTGACTTGGCTCCTGTCTAAATTGGTTCTAGTATATGTGTATATATGAATGTAAGTTAGGGACCTTAGATTGTATGCCCCTTGGGGGTTAGGGACTGATGTGAATGCACAATATATATGTAAAATGCTGTGAAAAATGATGGCGCTATATAAGTACCTGAAATAATAATAATAATAATGACTTCATACGGTTATTGGAACACTTTTCACAACACTACCCATGTCACTGACACTTACTGGTAGTGGTGAGCTTGGATGTGTGAGGATGTGTATCTGAACCCACGTGAGCGAGCCCGCCAGAGAGTTGTCACCTGTATGTGCCAATCATCTGCAACCACGGCATCCCCCTTCCCACAACTGCATGCATACAAGGAGCATGAATATATGTGGCTACATGGCAGGGAATGCCCCAGCCACAGATAATTGGCCCATACAGGTGACAGCTTACTGGGGTCCAAGCCCTAACACACCCAAGCTCACCTCTGCTTACCAGCTCGTTCCCACAGTTCCCTGCACACAGAATTCTACAAATGACAAGTGCAGCTTACAGATACCAGCTCATCAGCAAACCTTCACAAGGGAGTCCTAAGGGATCACAGTGACACAGCACAGGTGTTCTTCTGACAATACGTGTCTGTAACGCTAGGTACAACTATAACGTGGAGGATATAGCAACAAATAGCACAGAAAGTCACAGGAGAGCAGCTAACCCATCCATACACTTACCTGGTCACATGGAGGCAGAGACTTCCGGGTTTGCGTTCCACCAGCAGTGAGCCGAAGTGAGGCTTGGATCGTGAAGTCATTTCCGCAAACCGGTAATCCGAAAAGGGGTGTGTTGTAGTTTAGCGCGTCACATGACTGGACTGTTTACATGTGATCAGCGAGGGTCAGCCTGAGGAGTTGCTGCTTGTGGTGACACGAGATGTACTCGTTTCTAATGGTTATTGCTCGTTGTTGTAGGCAGCAGTGTTATGGATGGCTAGCTTGAAGTAATTCTAAGGACCCACTGTAAGGAAATTGGGGGGCTGGGCATAGAAAAGCAGGAGCTCAGGAAGCAGCAGAACACATTTTGACCACCTCAATACCGGGCACTTTCACCCGCTTCCTGTCGCACTTTGAATGACAGTTGCATGTGCGCGGTCATGCAATGTTTATCCTTTCTTCCACACAATAGAGCTTTCTTTTGGTGGTGTTTAACCGTTTCAATACCGTGCAATTTTACACCTTCCTGCCCAGGCCATTTTTCAGGTTTCAGCGCTCTCACACTTTGAATGACAATTGCGCGGTCATACAACACTGTACCCAAACTAAAATGTTATAATTTTCTTCACACAACTAGAGCTTTCTTTTGGTGGTATTTAATCACCGCTGGGGTTTTTATTTTTTGCTAAATTAACAAAAAAAGACCAAAAGTTTTGAAAAAAAAACATTTTTCTTTGTTTCTGTTATAAAAGTTTACAAATAAATAATTGTTCTTCATAAATTTAGGCCGAGATGTATTCTGCTACATGTCTTTGGTGAAAATAACCCAAATTAGGATGTATTTTTTAGTTTTTAGGAAAGTTATAGAGTTCACAAACTATGGTATAGATCTGAATATTGATCAATCCTGAAGTACTGACAGCCAATCTAATTTCTTGAGGTCCAAGAATGTCAGAACAGTACAGATATCCCCCAAATGACCCCTTTTTGCAGAGTAGACAGTCCGACGTACTTCATAAGAGGCATGGCGCGTTTTCTGAAGTTGTATTTTTTTGTCATAATTTCTCGGAAAATGAAAAAATGAAAAAAATTATTTTCACTATTTTTTTTTTTACATACTGTCACCAGTGCAGTACAGCATCATCATATAACTGGCATGGCGGTGAACAGGGACACTGACTGCTGACAGTATGAAAAAAATATATATATATATATTTTTTTTTATTATATTTAATTTTTTATTACATTTTTTTTAAGATTTTTTTTCATATTTTACTATGACCAAAATAGTACAATGTTACCATAGTAACATTGTACTACTTTGGGGAAGTGATCAGTATTTTTTTTTTTTTCTTTTACACAATTTGCTTATAGCAAAGAATTACTTTGCTATAAGCAAGCATTTACCTGAATGAAATCGATTCATTCAGCTTTTTTTTTTTTTTTTTTTTTTTTTGTGCTTAGCTGTGATTTGGTCACAGCTAATCACATGACATGTGCATGTGATTAGCTGTGACCATTCACAGCTAGGCACTAGTATACAATGGATGGCATCATGAATGAAGCCATCCATTGTATACAACTGTCATGTGACCTGCTGTGATTGGTCACAGCAGGTCACATGGTACCAGCAACGGGAGCTGGTACTCGGATCTGTCATCGGCCGTGTCCGAGGTGCACTCCCGGTGACAGATCGCACTGCTGCGCCGCTCTGCACTAGCGCAAACGGCGCATGTGCGGGAGCACGCCAAATGGCGTGCACCCGGAATGCAGATACACATCTGAAACCACCAAACGGCCATTGGCCGGGCGGCTAATGGTTAATCATTGCTGGTTTTCAAATTTTTGCCAAACTAAAAAAGAGCGGAAATTAAAAAAAAAAAATTTTTCTTGGTTTCTGGTATAAAATTTTGCAGATAAGTAACTTTTCTTCTTCAGTGAAGTGCACTGATGGGCACAGGTGAGGCTGTCCTGATGAGACGGCACAGGTGAGGCTGCCCTGATGAGACTGCACAGATGGGCACAGGTGAGGCTGCCCTGATGAGACTGCACAGATGGGCACAGGTGAGGCTGCCCTGATGAGACTGCAC